ATTTCACTGGCCGACAGGCGAGTTAACGCTAACATAGAGTTTCTGAATAAACTAGTCGATGGTCGTATAGATGCTCCCTCACTTCTCTCGATAGTCAATTTCAAAGTTCCTTCCCGTACTACTAGATACCATGCTCCTTTCGTTGTTCCTGCGCACACTACCAATTATGGCAGAAACAATCCGTTAGACCGCATGATGCGGCTGGCCAATGAGAGCACCGTTCATCAAAACTGATACATTTATTATTATATATTTTTATATTTGTTATATTATCATTATTATACTTATTATTCTGTAATTATTATCTTATATAAATTTAATTATGTCATTGTATTAATTATTTTAAATTATGTATTATTGTATTATGTTAAACTGTTGAATAGGGCCCAGCCCGTTAACAAATAAATAAATAAATAAATAAATAAATAAATTACATAAAAAATATAAAAAATATAAAATATGACATGGTATGTGATTTGAGTACACAATAACAAATCATAGGTAATCTAAAAAGTTTAGATACTTATAAAATAAACGTCATTGTAGACTCGCACCGATATACAATGTAGAGTAGGTGTATAAAACAAATGTCAGCAGTTGACTATTGTCATAATATCAAATTATATTATATATTTCACAATGTTCACTGCAATCTTAATCAACAATTACACAAAAAAAAAAATTCCATATCCATAAGCTACACAATTACAACTAGAACCAAAAGAAGTTTAAATTACTTTTGTTATAACTATCCAGATAAAAAAATTCATTTAATAAAAAATCATTATTTTACCCATGCATAACCAATTTTTCAAAATTTAAACTAAAGCCGCTAATATAAAAATATTTGTGGATGAAGTTTATTTAAAAAATCCGACAAGGAACTTTGTCTTATCTACATATTTACACCGAAAATATGACGTATGAATATAAAATAAATGTTCAATGTTCAACTATTAAAAAAAATCTCTAATTTTTTTCGATTTTGATAAACTACTTATTGACCGAAACTAAATATGAAATCTGATTTCGGATGTTGAACCTTTGAAAGTCCGATTACAACAAGATCATAGAATAAGGTTTTCATGGCATTACAATTTTAAAAATTAGCCTAGCTTAGTGAGACCTTTTTAAATAAAAGTATTCATGTGAGACGATATTAAATACGACATACAATCGTATGACTAAACCATACATTGAAACCTATACACTATAATGTATAGTGTTCATAATAAGGTATGTATTGGGGAAGCAATATTGCTGAATATAGTTCTTTATAATTACATACAATGCAATCACTCATTGAAAACTATTTCGCGAGTCCGAGAGGTATACAATAACCAAACTTTTGTCATAATATGTATACGAATGGATTAACAATAGTTGTAATTAAAAATATTATTCGATGGCACTTGAAACTTTTTAAGTTTATTGCCATTTTTTATACACCAAAGGCATTTCTAACATAGTATTTTTTTTGTAAAAATTAATTCAGTCTACTGTATTCGGTGACGCATAATATGCAACGATCGTACATCTGTTTAAACGGTTTATAGCAGTACATTATTTTGTTTTTTGTTCATCACCGTCTGAGTAAATAATAAGTTTGCACAGAAACAACAAGTTGGTAAAGGTGTCTTAAACAGATGTTTAATCATTGTTATACGTGGTATAAGCTAAAATGGCTGTATGTAAGCATTGTAAACTTCGGCAAAATTATATTTTTTCTACAATTCGATATCATGTAAACTGCTGAAATGTATTTTATACACCTACTCTACGTTGTATGACAATACGAATACACTATGTCTCGATTTCTCTAGTCCGCACTCCCTGTATTTTGTTAAGTTTTATTTGTTACCGAATTGTATTTTGATATCGTCGAAAATAAAAGCCGTCCGGCATTAACTCTCATCTAAACTTTTTCGACTCAAATTTATTGTTTTTCTTTTGTTGTGGAGTCTTGGCGTCGTGTAAGTGCTAGCCTAGCACCAACACACTCTCCGCCAACACCCGCCAAATTATTTATGATTATGGAAGATAAATTATTTTATGTTTATTAGATAGCGTTTATATTTATTACACCCCTATATGGTCATCATTGGTATTGCCAGGGGTACGACACTCTCACAAATCCTAATGCTATTTGAAAAAAGTGGGGACATGGTCTTGAACTCACGGGCACTGCCATTTTGTTATTTATGAGAATCAGCTGACGGATCTTATCATATATTTCAATAATTGATAGTTGAAACTTGATACCATCACGATAACACAGGGATGATAATAATTTGTATAATATTTTATAATAATTTTGTAACAAATTATATTTTATTTATAAACATGTTTTTTTTCATATTGGTATATGTTTGGATGTAAAATTTTTATAATAGTTCTACGTAATAGTTTTATGTTATCACACATCAATAGAATTAGTTTAAATAACAATCCACATAATTTAAGTAGACAGACTACAGTTAAAATGATCCTTTTACCTTGGTATTTAGTATTATGTTACCTAGTTACATATTAATTGTAGCATTGTATTTGAGTTAAGCTGGGTTCATAGCTATTATGCACTCACTTTTGGACAAAACACAGCATATGACATTGTTGTTAACGTGGCTTGAGAGAGTAAATAATAAATTCATCCGACATGTATATTTTAGCATGATGCCTTTAACTAATAAATATACAGATGTAACAAAGGATAGGTAGTGAAATAATAAGCCCACAAGTAGGTATGCGCTATGCTAACATTTGCAAAATACATTAGATATTGTTTACGCTGTCGAGCTCTTGCGAACAGTTGACCCGACAACTCGCACCGTACAACGGTTGTTACCACTTACAATATTAATGAGTAAAAAACAATAATAATACCGTGTATGAATTGTTACTACAGAATATTGAATTGATCGTTGCAAATAAACAATAATAATAATACAAATATATTAATGAGGACGTCTCCTGCTAATAATAATTAAATAATACGAAAAAGGGTAATACAAAATACACAAAATATAATAATATAATATACAAAAAATAGATCGAAACCGAACTTATCACTGCTCAAGTACTTATCAAGTTGTTGTACCGGGACGCGCTAATGGACAGCTGACGGAGCGGCCGTTGACCTATATTCGTTGTATTTATAAACACGGCCGACGTTCGCGGTGGCAGCGAGTGACCGTGGTGGCGGCGGAGAGTGGCGGTGTGAACGCCAGCTTATGCAGCGGCGGAAAGTGACGGAGTCGACGCCGGCCTATGTGCACCTCCAATTAACCCACGATACGAGTCGCACCCTACGAATCACTCACCTGAATTGCACACGACGACGCACACGGTATGAATGGTATGATGTGTCCAGCGATGGGAGAAAATGTCAATTCGACGAACTGTGCAAACGAAACTTGTTTTTTCGTATTGCTGCTGTGGGTTTCAGCGACGTCGTAGGACGCGCGACGCAAAAGCATATAGAAACCACAACACTACAGCAACTTACGGCAGACTGACTCGTTGTTTCGTACACAGGCTTGACCAGCAAAAAGGCCGGCCGGTGATAACGGGCAATGCGCGACAATGAGCGATGATGAGCGATAATGCGCTATATCGGCAAGCTCTAGAACATTCCTCGTTCGCCACGCGCCCACGCAAACCGATTCGGGGAAAAAAGGCGGAGGTTTGAACAGATATTAAATTTCCGTCATAGGTACGAGGTAGCTGTAACCTGTATAAGAAAA